TTAGGAAAAAATTCAAAAATACATGAGAAACAGATCAGGGGAAAACAATTTGGATAAAATTATAGTTCCTTTATCTTTCACTTAAACTTAAAGCAAACCTTTACTGAAGTTTCAAAAAGTCTGGTACTTCTCTCTTTTTATTACCTGGACCTCCATGGTTCTGCTTCTTGTGAGAAAACCAGCAGTATTGAAATTATGAGACTATTTTTTTCCCCCAGAGTTTGCAGCCTAATTCATAGTAGTACCAAAAATCTTGCAGGTGAGACTTCTTACAAGATTTCCAGTTGGGTTCTGCAGATCTAAGAAATTTGGATAAAGAAGTGAACTTCTGGGTGCTTCTCAGAACCAAATTCTAAGTCTTTTGAGATCTGTCCATCACTGAGGCCTTGTTTACAAACTGATCAAATTGATTGGCATAGCTATTGCAAAAAAAACTATTCCACAGTAGCTATTTCAGAAAAAAGTGTCTTTATTCCACAGTAATTACTCAATTCACAAAGCCAAGTAATTATTCTGGAATAAAATCAATTTTATTCTGGAATAGAGTGCCCAAATGGAACAGTTAAACTGGAATAGCTCTGTGTAGACAGGACCTAAAATAAATGAAATTTTAGGAAGAAAATAAAAAGGTGAATGGAGTTATAGGTGTGCGAAGGATTTCTGAGAAGAGATTTCTTGTTTATAGCTCCTCTCTCTCTCCTCCATTCAATGAATGAGCAATAAAACAACAGTAAACACTCCATTTGAGATCTCCCGCTATCTTCATATGGGTTGTCATATTTGTTTACAACAAGCATTAATTTTATGCAGTATGATTACAAAGGAAAAATATTTGTTTCTCAGTATTGGTTTATTACCTTATGCTTTACTAAGTCCCAGTGTCTTTTCTCTGTCGTTCATTAGGTACACCTTATTTGTTCAGTATTTATGTTTTTAATACACCTCTACCCCGATATAACATTGCCCTCGGGAGCCAAAAAATCTTACCGTGTTATAGGTGAAACCGTGTTATATTGAACTTGCTTTGATCCGCCAGAGTGCGCAGCCCCGCCCTCCCGGAGCACTGCTTTATCGTGTTATATCTGAATTCGTGTTATATTGGGTCACGTTATATCGGGATAGAGGTGTACAGCCTTCTAATATTTTTGGCTTTGGTAAATGTTTTGCCTACATTTGTTGAGTGGGGTTAATTAAGTGGATGCTACATGGTCTTTCTAAGACATCCCTGATTTCCTAACCTCACCCTTAGTTGTTTTTGAATAAAAAATATGGTAAATGAGACTGGATTTGCAATGGTTTTTACTCTATACTTAGGTTTGGCAGAATTCAATTTCTTTGAATAATTTTGATGGATGATATAAATGTTTGTTTTAAAGCATTTTTTCTTTATCATTTTTTTTAAAATGTGCACAGTTGCAAGAAAATATGGGAGGCAGGCAACAGAATGGGTCAGTTAATTATTTAATGACAGTAGACATTGATTTCAAAAAGTTAAAGCTTTGTAACTGCTAAAACACAAATTGTAAACGTTTGTCAAAATATAAGAAGTAAATATCCTTAAATCAAACTTTAATAAGATCTCAACCAGCATTTTTGTTTCTTTGCCTCCTATCAATCATTTTTTTTCATCTGTTTCTTTGTGTACAGTGAAATTGACGTTTACTGAAATTTACCAATAAAAATATAATCCTTCTGAGCCTACCTATACTCAGGCTACGTCTACACTACCCACCTGAATCGGCGGGTAGAAATCGATCTCTCGGGGATCGAATTATCACGTCTCGACGGGACGCGACAATCGATCCCCGAATCGACGCTTGTACTCCACCAGCGGAGGTAGGAGTAAGCGCCGTCGACGGGGGAGCCGCAGAGGTCGATTTGCCGCCGTCCTCACAGCGGGGTAAGTCGGCTCCGATACGTCGAATTCAGCTACGCTATTCGCGTAGCTGAATTTGCGTATCTTAAATCGACACCCCCCCCATAGTGAAGACGTAGCCTCAGTGTAGCACAGTTCTAAACAATAACTTTATCTGACTTCTCTTGATACAGATTTAGAATACTTCATAACAAAATCTTGTTTTAAAGATGGGTCAAGAAGGCACTATTTGAATCAGATTAGATGTAGCCAAATTTGAAGCCAAGATTTTGGCCCCAGATTGTGGATAGCTCACAAAGTACACATCCAAACCAGAATGAGGAAAACAGGCCCATCTGCTTTTGACTCAGACCTAGGATCAAAATTATAAAGACAGGTTCAAAGATATGGAGATTCAGAAATGAGCCCCTTGAAATTTGAAGAGATCCAGATTTGAGCTTCTGGTTGTAGCTTACCTCTACTCTTAATGAAAGCCTACAACAGCTGTTGATGGCAGATTCCAAACATGGGTAACCACTTGGTGGGGAAGGGAGTAGGGCCTAGGCTGTGAGATCACATATATTTTAGTCTCCTTTAATCAGTTAAAGACAGACATTTGAAATAAGCTTTGAGTAGGTTATCTACTGCCTGTTCTACACATAGCAAGTTAGCATTTACAAGTAGGTACTTGCATGAAGAAGAAATATTTCATAACCCACTTGTCTGAAACTGATACTTCTGTGACTACAACTCTTCCATGGGAGTTATAGAGGCAATTTGCAAGGAAGAGTTTAAAATTGTGATTAAAAAAATTGGGCCACATTATTTTTATTATATTGACCTAAACTTTACAAACCAGTTATTTACCCATGAAAGTACCGACAAACAGTGCCTCTCTTACTATTTGTACCATATCCAGAGACACCAGCCTGCTCGGTCAATTGTTTAACTTCCTTTTTGAAAGATGAAAATATTAATTATTTAGTGATGATCCTTGTTCTTAAAAATGTGATGTGTCTATTGTGTAGCTTTTGCCATTGCTACTGTATCGGAGTCCCTGCAGAATTATTGAAGATTTTTTTTTTTTCAAATTAACACTGTCTAAAAAGAAATGGAGAAAAAACAAACTAGAAATACTAACTGATTAATTCCCTTTTGACTAGCGCCTTCCAATTCAACCTCCAGAATTTCTTCACCCTCTTCTATTCTGCCTATGTTTTCAGCAAGTACTGCAAAGACCTAAATCTGTTTTCTTAACCTCTACACATAGTCTGCATCTAGGATAGAGAATCTGACTTGTGAAACATTTCAGATGCTCTAAACAAACGTTAATCATTGTGAGGCTGTCAATTGAGGGATCCCCATAGTGATTACTAGATCCTGGAAGGGCCTGCCTAGGGCCTGACCTAGACTCAATGAGAGTCTTTGCATTGACTTCACGTGGTTTTGGATCAGAACACTGGTGAGGAAACTCCCCAATTCAGAAAAGCTTTATTGAAGGCGAATATGCATTTGCTCTCTTGGAAGTGCCTTTGAGTGACCCCAACTTTAGTGATGGGTCAAAGCAGGAGTGGGCCTACACGAGAATAGCAATCTAAAATGAAGGGTCCCCAAAACGGGAATTAACAGACCAAATTGAAGGACTTTCGTCCATTTTTGAGAACCAGACTCAAAATTCTGAAATGTTTGGGTGAGGTTTCTTTGGCTCTGGTTTCTGGCTGAAATCAGAACTGGAACTGTCAAAGTCCCTGTGATAAATGAAAGGGGAGGGTTGTGGGGGCTCCCTTTTATGGACACCCAGCCAGCCAGTGGCTATAATATCCCTCTTAGTAGCTGTTCTCTAATTGCTCTACCTGTAAAGGGTTAAAAAGTCTCACTGCTATGCATAAGTAAAAGGAAGTGAGTGGGCACCTGGCCAAAAGAGCCAATGGAAAGGCTAGAACTTTTTAAAATTGAAAAAAGACTCCCCTTTTGTCTGTCTGTTGTTCTCCCGGGGAGAGGCGGACAGAGCAGCAGCTATGCTGTAAGAAGCTTGGGCCAGGTATTAAAAAAATCATCAGTATCATACCTAGAAATTACTAATTTAAAACCCCAGATATTTAAGTAGATCAGGAAATGTCTAGGAAGACACGATTAGGTTTATTCCTTTTATTCGTTATGGCTTGTGGATTCCTTTGTGCTGACCCCAGGTGCTTTTGTTTTGCTTGTAACCTTTAAGCTGAACCTCAAGAAAGCTATTCTTGGTGCTTAATCCTTGTAGTTGCTCTTTTACAATCTAGCAATAGCCTCAGTTCCCAGATGTATTTTCTTTCTTTTTTTTAATTAATAAAATTTACCTTTTTAAAGAACAGGATTGGATTTTTGTGTGTTAAGAGGTTTGTGCACATGTTGTTTAATTAGCTGGTGACAACAGCTGATTTCCTTCTTTTTTTCTTTTTCTTTTTCTTTCTCTTTCTCAGCTCTTCCTTGAGGGGGGGTGTGAAAGGGCTTGAGGGACCCCATAGAAAGGAATTCCCAAGTATACCCTCCTAGGCTTTCAAAGGGGTCCTGCACTTGGGTGGTGGCAGAATCTACCAATCCAAGATCAGAGAAAAGCTGTAACCTTGGGAATTTAATATAAGCCTGGAGTGGCCAGTATTAATTTTTAGAAACCTTGTGGGCTGCCCCCCCTTCTGCACTCAAAGTGCCAGAGTGGGGATTCAGCCTTGACAGTCCCGTATGAGGGGCTGAACTCTGAGTGTTCCTCATTGGAAGAAGTAGTACCAGAAATTTCATTTCTGAGGTTGGGGAAGAAATTTCTCATGAAGAAACTCAAGAGATTCAGCTTGTTTAGATAAGCTTCAGATAAACAGCCAGATTTTGCACTTCTGAACCAAACCCAAGCCCTAGCGCATAGAAACAATGGTGAGTGAGGCTACATGAATACTTCAGTTATAGCACTAGTCTATATGACATGGAAACAGTCTTTGATCCAGATCCTCAGCTGGTATAATTTGGGATAACTCCATTAAATTCAATGGTGCTGTGCTGATTTACACAACCTGACAGTCTGGCCCTTTGTGTTTTAGTAACAGCTCTAAAGTATTTCATAATTCTGCCCTATGTTGATTCTGATGGCTGAAGTATCTGTTCTTATTTATTCTAGGAAATTTACCAGTGGTGTGGCTCAACATGCAATAAATTTGAGCGTCTGAAGGCTACTCAAGTTGCTGTTGGCATTCGGGACAATGAGAGGAATGGAAGATCTCAGCTAATTGTTGTAGAAGAAGGAAGTGAGCCAAGACAACTTACAAAGGTATTGTAAATGTATTGCTGGTTCAAATACACTGTTATCCAGACTTCTGGGCATGTCCTGCCGCCATACTACTACACCTCAGGATATGTCATCAGATCTCATAATCTAAGCAGGACTGGACCCAGACTTTACATAGAGGGGCTCCTCACCGGACACCCAGCAACTTCATTGCTCTGTCGTAAGAGTGCTGTATACACAACAGCTGCTAGGTGCTCTTCCCCCTTAGTCAGGTAGTGCCCCAGCATAGTGCTATGAGATGATTTACTTCCTTTAAGTGCTGTCTTTCATGGCCCCCTTTTTGGAAAAGTAAAAATGTTAGCCCTTGTGTCTTGAACAAATCCCAGTTGAGTAATTACATTATACAGGCATAAATTCATCCAGCAGTTTCCCTAGCAAAGTTATTCCTTTCCTCTCCTAAATAAACAATACTCATATAGGGCTTGGTCCTATGCTCTTTGAAGTCTTGAAGATAAATGTCTATCAGGGATGGTCTAGACAGTATTTGGTCCTGCCATGCGGGCAGGGGACTGGACTCGATGACCTCTTGAGGTCCCTTCCAGTCCTAGAATCTATGAATAAGTCAAAGGCAAAGCTCCCTCAATGGTGCAGGATCAGAGCTATATAGAGTTGTGGGGAGGTTTATGGAGGGGAGAGATGAGTAGTGGGTGTGCCTTGAAAAGCTTGTGAAAGAACTGGTAAAGGGAGCGTAACAAATAAATTGAAGGACTTGGGAGGGAGGACAAAAGTCCTTGTGCATTGCTTTGGAACATCACAGCTACTTGAAACACCTTTGTACTATGGAGCTAGCCCATGGGACTTGAGTAAGTCCCGTTTTATTATATATGGCAAAGTTATTTTTCATACACAGAAATGTTTAAAATAATAACACAGACTTTGAATACAGTTATATGTAAAAAGATTATCAGCTGAGTCAGGTCATGTCTACACTCTGGGAACTGTACTGGCATAGCTACAGCGCTGTAGCTATTCTAGCATGACCCATAGTGTAGACACAGCCTATACCAATGGAAGAGGTTGTTCTGTTGGTGTAATAACATCACCTCCCTGAATGACACTAGCTTGGTTGATGGAAGCATTCTTCTGCGTCTACACTGGGAGTTATGTCGGCGTAGCTAAATTACTCTGGGGTTTGGATTTTACATACCACTGAGCGATGTCCCTATGTTGACCTAAATTTTAAGTGTAGGCCAGGCCTCAGGGCTTGTCTACACTTGAAACACTACAGCAGCACAACCTCTGCCAATGGGAGGGTTCTCTAATTGGTGTAGGTAATCCACCTCCCCAAGAGGTGGTAGCTTGATCGATGGAAGAATTTGATCTAGCACTCTCTACACTGGGGGTTAGTTGCTCGGAGGTTTGATCAATCTCATTTAACCACCAAAAGTGCCTGCCATTATAGGCTATCTCCATGCTCCAGCAGAGTCCTGGGGGGTTGGGGCTGCAGCCACAGGGTGTGTCTGTGGGGTCAGGGCTCGGGTGGAGGGGGCACTTGGGGCTTCTGCCCTGCAGGAGCACCAGGGCTCAGGGCTTTAGACCGGGGGAGCACTGGGGCTCGGGGCTTCAACCCCATGGCTCCATTCCCAGCTTCAGCGTGGGGGGGGGGGGGAGACACACCATAGATCGGGGCTTGAGCCCCAGGACTCCGCTCCCAGTTTCAGCCCCGTGGGGGGTGCCGGGGCTCGGGGCTTTAGCTACGAGGGGAGCGCCGGTTTCAGCCCCAGCATTCCCCCCGTAGTTAGAGTCCCGGCACACCCCTCTCCCCCCCAGCAGAAACCCCGAGCAGAGCTGCAGGGCTGAAGCCCCAATCACCGGCTCCCCTCATGGGGCTGAAGCTGGAACAGAGCCGCAGGGCTAAAGCCCCAATCCCCAGCACTCCCTCCAGGTCTAAAGCCATGAGCCCGGGTGCTCCCAGGGGGAGAAGCTCTGAGCCCCCTGCCAGGAACCCAGGTGGCTCCTAGGGTCAGAAACCCCTCCCCCCGAGTCCTGACACACGCCCCCCCGCAACCCTACAGCTGCAGCCCCAACTCCACCATGGCAGAAGTCTGTAATGTCTTGTTCAGAGTTACGGACCATTTCAGAGGTACGACAGCCTCCATTCCCGAGGTGTCTGTAACTCTGAGGTTCTACTGCACTTGCCCCTCTCTAACTAGGTGCAGATCAGGTGATGAGAGGTGCAAGTGTCTTGATGTGCACTTTCAGTCCATTTTCAAATTGCAAAATTGCATGTGAATATTTTAGACATGCAATGCACCTTCAGAAAGGGAGGCCACACCTCAGCTACTTTGAAAACATGACCCTAAAATAATTTACTTTTACATCAAAAGTCAGATATCACTTAGGATTTGGACACCAGTGGCTACTTAGGGAAGGTCTACACTTAAAATTAATGAAGATGCTCTACGCCGAGGGGAGAGAGCTCTCCCGTCAATATAGTTAATCCACCTTTGTGAGAGGTGATAGCTATGTCAGTGGGAGAAGCTCTCCTGCCAACATAGTGCTAGTCTACACCAGCATTTAGGCTGGTATAACTACGTAACGTCACTATCCACACTCCTGAACGATGTTGTTAAACTGGAGTGATTCTGTAGTATAGACCTGGCCTTAAATCCTTAAGGTTTTCACTTTGTAAAATATGTAGTTCAGCTGAAACTACCTACACTGCCTACCTCTAGCACTTCCACTCAGAGGCAAACACACAGCATTAACCACAGCTAAGACACAATTAAGCTAACACAGCACTAATCAATCATGTAAAGTAGTCTGTAGGACTAATTTGCCTCGGGCGAAAGGCACAGAACCTGTCCTGCTCTATTGCGTAAACAATTATTACTTACAATCAGCATGACAAAACAGTGGTGCAACAGAAACCGTCTTCAAGCACACTCCATTAGTATTGCTTCATGCAGATAACAAAGGGGAGAACACACTCCAAACCAGAAAATAAATGTGCCTATTCAATTTTGCTGAAGAATTATTTTATGTTCAACTTTTTGCTCCTTTCCCATTTGAAAAAAAAAATGACTGAAAAAAATTGGTTTAGAAACATTAATAAATACCAAGTGTGTTAGGAGGTTAGTATGTGAACTGTAACCAGATCACAATGTTGGTCAACATTTTTCAGCTATTGAAGATTCAGAAAACAGGGGGAGGAAAGGAGGGTGGCATTTCAGAAGGAAAAATTACAAATCTCCCCCTCCCCCACTTTTAAAAATCTACTCTAGACCTGGTTGAAATTGAGTACATTTGTTTATTTTTTTTAAAAAGGGTTCCCATCCTCTAAGCAATCCCTCCCCGTGCCCCCCCGTCCCCCCCCCCTTTTCAACTAGCTCAGGTCTCAATACATAATATATATTATGAAGGAAAAGTTACACCCATTCATCATTAAGGCGTCGAGGGTCCTGATGAAGTGTCACCTACCTGCTCCACTGTGATGCTCAGGAATGCATAATTCTGTGATATCCCAGCTACTAGGCTGTACAGTATTTGCTTCTTCTTTTTTTTGTCTGCACTGCTGCCTGATTGAGGACTTCTGGTTTCACAGGGTGTCTGGCTGATCGGTAAGTCCGTAATCTGGTGTTCGTATCTTTGAGGAAGTCCATGGGGTTATGTGGGTGTACAGGCTGGAACCTGGATCTCATCACAAAGCCCTCATTCAGCTGTGTGGTTCTATTAACTTGTGTAAAGTTCCTGGAACCTATAGTGACCTAGACAGGTGATTAAAAGGACAGGGAAAATGCCAAGGTTGTACTTTGATTTCCCTGTCCTGGAAAGTATTAGTGAATAATGATTTTCGTTACTTGCCCAGCAACGATGGAGGGAAAGTTTCTGCTTTTCCTTTCTTACTAAGGTAAATATTAATGTGGAAAACTATTGGTGAGTTAAGTGAACAGTGTTTAGTGCTCTGATTGCTCACCACTGTGGCAAGTCTTCTCCTGTGATCAGCAGTACCAGGGAAGTTCTGTGGGCAGTGCTTCAGGCAGCAAGGATGGGGTGTTGTCTCTATAAAGAAATATGGGGCTGCGTCTGCAGTGCCTCCATAGCACTCCCAGTCATTGCAAGCTTTAGGGAAATGTGCTACCATATAGCCACTAGGCCAGGGGTTCTCACCACAATTTTTTTGGTGGCCTCTGAATGTGGCCACCAAATCTTGCTAGTGGCCACTATGACAGTTTCCCCTAAAATAATTAATTTAGGAAAAACAAATATGCACATATACATGTCCAAATCATAGTTATTTATGTAGGGTTTTTATTTGCACGCTCAATAGTAATAATAATGTACAGTTGTTTCTATTCTTTACTGGACCTAAACAGAATAGAAACACAAATAAGGTGTTTTGCATGTTCTGGTCTTTTTTGTTGTTGTTGGGTTTTTTGCTTTTTTGGTTGTGGTTTTTTTTTAGACTTGCTAGCTAGTAAGTCTGCTCCTGTGAAAAGTGATATTTGTGTATTTGTTAATATCACTTTTCAGAGCAGCAGACTTGTTATCTAGCTCTGAGGCAGTGATGAGTGATATTTACAAACATACACATACCACTTTTCAGAGCAGACTTACTCAGCCCTGGCAAGCCGGGTGACAAATTAAGCCCCGGATGGGGAGGTGGGTAGGGAGACAGCGGGGGCCAAGGGTGATGGGGTGGATGGGTGAGGGGCTGGGGGCAGCAGCAGGGGCCAGGGGTGATGAGGGGGGTGGTGAACCCAGAGGCCAGGGAAATGGAGCCTTCCACTGCACAGCCAAAACCCAGAGCCGAAAGCCCCATGGTTGGAGCCCGTGGCTGGAGCCTGCCACCCCAGGCCTGAAGCCGGAAGCCTGAGCCCCACCGCCCCCGGGAAGGTGGGGAAATCACACTGGCTGTCTGCTCCTCTGGCGCTTGTGGCTCCAAAGGGGGTCAGGGCTCAACACATCCTTGTAGCCCAAGGGGAGGAACCACTGCTTTGCCCCCACCCCCAATCACTGCCCAGGAGGCTGTGACCGCAAGA